TATTTAATTAATAAAACTTAATTAAGACATGTCTTTGAAACTTTAAAATAATTTTCTTAAATTTGGAACTGTGTATTATAACTACCTTAAATATAATTTTTTCACTATATATATATATACACATGAATAAAATATTGGCCAAAAACCAAACTGTCGGGCAGTTCTTGGCAGAGCTCTCTTTCTCACGGGTGATTTAAATGTGTTCATTACAAGAGCGAGGCTCGAAATTTCCTGGGCGGTTGGGTCACTTCTTCGTGGGGAAAAATTATCTCAAGTGGACCTTTCAATGAGATTGAACTCATTTGAAGTTGTAAGAGATAAAAGGACTACAAAGGCAAAAGTGCTTCGTCCTTGTCTACTTGGCTCGCTTTGAACTTGTTTCCACTCTTATTAACAGAACTATATAAATAAGCTAGGTGGAAAATGGCGACATTTCAATCTCGTCCTATATCGTTGTCGTCCTCAACCCCTGGCCCCATGTCTGAGTCCCATTTTTTAATAATAAATTTCGTAAGAGTGATATTTTTTTTTGCCTTTTAAGAATTCGTTTTAAAAGTAGGGAAAATGCCTGTGATTGCTTGTAAAATTATTTTATTGAGAGAATGTGTGGTTGAAAATGAGTTTGACAAAAAACAAGGTTTAAATAATAGAGCTCAAACATGGGTTCAATTTACATTTGAATTTCTAACATTTATCTTGAGGGCCGAGGGACACGACTTTTAAAAAGTTAAATAAGATTTAGAGAGTTAAATGTTGATTTTGAACTTAATTAATTGATTTTATAAAATCATCTCCTCTAATTAAACGAGCTTTTAGAGAAAATTGATTTGACATAACTCTTTCAAAAAGCTTTTCTTTTCTTTTTTATTTTTTTGTGGAAGCAAACATTCTTTTAAAAATTGAATAATGCTATTCATAGTAAATAAAAAGCCTTTCATTTTCTATTTCGATTTATATTATAGAAAATTAGTGTACTGGTAGGGATCGCTATGCCACCTCTATTTTCTTTATCCTAGGCGTATTGCTTAGCAAAGCAAAATTCTTTTCGGAAGGGGAAAAAAAGGTACGCCCATCATAGTCAACCTCTCCTTTCGTCGATAGTCATCTTACGTGACATACATGTGTTGTTTTGTGTGTTGACTACCAATATTTTCACCGTAAATAATATTACTTTTAAAATTTAATTTTCAATCATTAAATATGGTAGCTTTCCCTGTATGTATTTTAAAAAGGATATTAATATTTGAAGATTATCTATTTTAATATATTGTTTCAGCCTCATTAACCTTGGATTTAAATGTAATATTATTTTATTGAAAAAAAAAGTGGTTGAAAATAACGAAGAGAAAAATGTTTTTTGAGAAAAATAAGAATCAAACAAGATAATGTTATTTATCATTTTGAATTTTTTTTTTTCAACTTATAATACAAGCGAATTTTTCTCTCATCATGTTATTTGTCGTATTTGTATTTATTTTTTATTGTTAGTTTTGATCCAACGGTGATTTGTTATTTAGGATTTGTTTAAACTCTAATATTTAGATAATTTGTAGTTAATCATAGGAAAAGTTTAAATATATGTATTAAATTATTTTATTGAAATAATGCATGATTGAAAATAAATTTTAGAAAAATAAATTTTTAAAAAGTGAAACTCAAATAGAGGCTTAAGTTAAACGATCGAGCTAATGACATGGTGCTTGGTCAGTAATCTGCAAGTGTTCGATAACTACGAATTTGATATATTCTTTACGTAATTGTACTTATTTTTGTCAAAAAAATAATTACATCGTTCCCGGGTCAGTTATTTTAGTTATATTTTAAACTCGTAAGAAAGCGAACAAGAGAAAAAGTAATTGAAACGAAAGAAATAAATGATTAAATGCTACATATACAAACTATTGTAAAAGTAATTTTTCCGCCAACTGCCAAAGAAGGCCTTTTCTTTTGCTTGCAGTATGCGCAATACGCACTCGCGCCAGAATTGTTTCCCTTCATAGGCCATAGCTAGCTGGTTAGCGTACTGCGGACGTTGCTAATCCTAATCTCGAACACAGTTTAAACCAAAAGGAAATATCCTTTAATCTTCCGTTTAAGACGTGAATTATTATTTTAATAAAAACGCTTCTCTCTCTCCTCTCTGCCGCCACTGAGCCTTCTGCTTAACAGCACAGCGCCTCTTCTAACACCATTATTTTATTTATTAGATTTTCCACTCTATGAATACTTGCTCCATCACACCATTTTTTTTGTATGACAAATTTGCCCTTCATCCTCTTTATTTCTTTTTCTTTTTCATTTTTTCAAACATGCATGTTTGATCTCCATTTTTTTTTTCCAAAATTCATTTATCTCTCACTCTCTTCTTTTCAATCACACATATCACGCATTTTTTAATAAAACAACATTACACGCAAATTCAAAATTTTTCTTAATTTTTAATCACAAATTCTCCATTAATTTAATATTCCAAAATACATTTTTTGCTAAAAATGGAGCTCAAACATGTTGCTAAAATTGTTCTATTATCTTTTTGACAGCATATTATGTATCTATTTGGTAGGAATTAAAATTTTGATTTTAATTTAAATCAAAGTCAACAATCAATGCTAATCATATATTTCATGGTACCAATAATTTTTCAACCACTTATTTCATCAACCTTATCAAAATCTAATAAAAATCTGATTTCAATCCCCACCCAACATGGTTTATATATCTATGTTATTTAACCCCGTTTGAGCTTCATTTTATTTAAACTGCATGTTTTTTATTCTTTTCAATAATGCGTTCTCCAATAAAATAGTTTTAAACGTAAATTCAAAGCTTTTTCTTCTTTTTTAACCACACAATTTTAAAAATCACTATTCTAAAATATTTTTCCCCAAAATTTTGATTTTAATGGAGCTCAAATAAGGGTTTATTTCTTAAGAACTTAATATTTCCAACTCATTGTTACATTATGGCGGTTAAAATATTTGGTTGTGTTTGAAAGTGAATGTTTCTACTAATTTTTATGATACTTTTCAAGTGTCAAAATTTAATGCCACAATAGAACATGATCCAACGTTATCTCATATTTTTGCTCTGAGGGTCAACGCAACGCACTATTAATTGTCCCGCGCGGTGTGAGAAAATGGCACACCATTAGCATTTGTTCTCATCACTTCGTTTTTTTCAATCCATACGACCTCAGGACGATAGAAAGTTGACATTTGAGAATTATCAGAACACAACGGAAATGAAGACGTGGAAGCAAGACCGTCTTAGTATCTTATGGAATAATTGAACTTATAGTTGGGCTATTTATTCATAACAAACAATAAGCGGGTTGGATTTCTAATGCATTTACCATAGAAAAAGAAAGTCGAGTAGGTGTAGTTGGGGTTCGTCATCTTGATCAAAATAATTTGGGTAACGAACATGTTGCGACGTAAAAGATGGTCGTTGTTACGCCTATTCTAATGTTGCTCCAAACAACGGCCATGTGGCAGTAAGCTAACAAGCCTAATCGGGTCCACTCTTCACACTTAACCTGGCTGATGTCATATATTGAGGTAGTGATGCATCACCTTAATCAAGATGCCATGTAAAGGCCAACCATCAATAACCTAGGTGAGGTATTATAACCTGTTGTAGAGTAAATTCGAGGCAATTAGCCTTTTAATGAGAGAATACATCTACCACTTCGTGTATTTCAATATATATTTTGTACAAGATCTTCGTATAATTGATTAATGTAACATCTCTACAATAGGTGCCTCACAATTAATTTGTTAACCCTTGTTTGTTTTTCATTATTTTCTCATTAAAATGAAAAATATGACTATTATCCATCACACCAAGCCATCATATTTGAATTTATCTATTTTGTGTGGGGCCATAATTGCTATATTTTTTATTCTCATTTTTATATAAATGGGAAACAGACAGGATCAATTTAATCTTTTGATGTCAAACTAGACTATAGGATGTCAACTTTTCAAAATCATTAAATGTCCCCGAACTTAAGATTCAGAGACTGACACCTAGGAGAAAAACACTTCAGCAATCAGGATGAAGCCACATGTTTTTTCCATTCAATGGTAATCAATTTTTATTATTATTATAAAAGCTCACATTGAGTATCATTTGAAAGTAATATATCGCTCAAGTATTGTTGCTCTCTCGTTTTATTCCGAACACCTTTGGGCCCATAAACTATTATAGCTTGCGAGTCTTCCGCACGTTCTACATGTCTATATATTCGTACAAATTGACGAACTTGATTGTCGAAACATTTACGATCGCCTTTCCGATGACCAGGTATGATCACGTGCTACTAATGATTTGTCTAAGTGTGCAGGAGAAATGCTATGTAGATCGGTAGATGTAAGTGAACTCGAAACATGTTAACTACGTCATTCGTGTAAAAATCAAGGTCAATAGTAATTTCTATTGAGTTTCGAACGATATCATTTTCAAAAGTCAAGAATGAATCGTTTATCGTCTTCAACGACCGAACTCCCTTTTACATTCATCGTCCGGGTTAACAAGGATGTTCTTTTGCACTAACTTTAATTCTTGAAAATTTCAATTTTCATGCCTCTTGGGGTACAGCTCAACTGGTGGATCAATCAACATTGTCTTGCTTCCAGCTACAGGGTGGAGGTTCGAGTCCTGGTGGGAACTTGCGGTCAGATTTATTTGGTATGGAGAAATCACTTTGGAGGAGGATTTCTTGTGCGCAGAAGTGTACAGGCGGTGGGGGAACCTGTGATCCAGTGGAGGCATAACCCACGATTTACCCCCTCCAAGGTTCTAGGGGCAAAGGTCTTCGGGGTGTCCAGGATTTAGTCTAATGTAAGCTGTGATACCTGAATATAAAAAAAAAAAAAAAAATTCAATTTTCATTAATTAAAAAACTAAATTTGACGTTAATAAAAATTTAAATTTGACTTTATTTTAAAGGGAGGTGCCCTTTAGTAATTTCAACTTTACCAATCCAAAATTCACGCAACTTCATTCAGTGTCTCTCACACACTGACTCACAGAGACCGTCGTTTCTTTCTCTCCATCCTGAATACGCTCAATGCTCCACTATTCTTTTGAGTTCGATATTACCATCGATCCTTTCCAAGATTTCGTTTACTTGCATGTAATTTCTATTTATTGGTAAATCATAGGGTTTCTTTTGGTGTTCGGATTCCCCGTCTCGCTGTTTTTAATGGAGTGCTATCATGAATTATCTGGAAAAAGCGCACACAGTTGATAAGCGCAAAAACACCCCTCTCTCTCTCTCTCTCACGCACAGATAAACAATTTTTTTCTAGAGAGAAAAACAGACACGAGCAGTCATTTGAACTCAAATCCCCACTCTGTTTATATTATCCTAACTAATATATTACACACTACATTTTCTAAGCAATCTATATGAAATTCTCTCTCTACTTATAATTGTTTATGTAATTAATCCGCTGTCTATGCAGTGATTTCTATTTGAGGTGTTTGTATAAATGCATATACTGGAGGAATAAATTTGGGCGTTTTGTGTATTTGATGTGCGAGAGAAAAAGCGTATAGATCGGATATGGAGGAAGTTTCCGGCGAGGGAAGTGTTAGCTTGACGCAGGAGCTGAGTTCCGGCGAGTCAAACGACAATGAGCGGTCTAGTGAGACTCAGCGGATGACCCCCTTGACGATGTCCGCGTCATTCAAGGAGGGAGGCAAGAGCTCGTCGCGGCGGAGGGCGGCCGTCCGACCGAGTTTAGATGCAGACGAGTTCTTAAATCTGCTCCACGGGTCGGATCCTGTGAAGTTGGAGCTCAATCGCCTCGAAAATGAAGTCAGAGGTCAGTCCATCCCAACTGGATCCGTTAGATTTGTGTTGTGGTTTGATTTGAAACGCTGTTGTTTTATAGCTATATCTTGTATTTCTAAAAAATTTGACTAACAATTGAATAAATATTTAAGTTTACAGAACTAACTTGAACGTGGCATTTTGTTTCCGGTTTGTGATTTGTAGATAAGGATAGGGAATTAGGGGAAGCGCAATCTCAGATCAAAGCTTTGAAGTTGTCGGAGCGTCTTCGTGAAAAAGCTGTTGAAGAGGTTCCCTTTCCTATGTTTCCTTTCTAAATTACATTCAGAAAGTTTAGCTGTTTACATTTCTTGTTTTAGAAATGGTTAATTATGCTTGTCTAGTCTTAAGTTGTGTTAACCACTCAATGTAGCAGCTTAGGAGGTTAGAGAGCATACATATTTATTTAATATGAATCGGCCATGCCATGTCACGGGCATGGCTGATTCATATTTCATAAAATGACTGACACGTGGCGCGGGAGGAAGACATTGCTCTTGTACGGTGTTAACCAGCTCATTAAATGCCTAAGCGGTTAGAGAAAGCGGAGCTCTACCAACTGAGCTATATCCCCCCGAGCCACGTGGAGCATGCATGAAGTAGTCATGATGTTTATTTATTTAAATGTTGTGTTCAACATGTTGTATGAAATTGGTAAATTTAAAGGTGGATTTAAAATATAGTAATTTGTAAGCATGCTAATATGCCATGTCAGTAAGTTTTGGTGACAACGTAAAGAGTTTGCAATTTATTACGTGAAGCTTTTGACTGGGAGTTCAACTTCTAACCTCAAATGCCTCGGGTATGGGACTTTTTTTTCTTGAATTGGACCTTATTTGCTATAAAATAGTTTCTAGTGATGAGGGAATATAAGAAAAGATTCCCCTTGCAGCCTTGCTTTGACTTCTCTCTTTACGTACTTAAGTGGTAGCAAACTAGTGGAGGAAATTTTTTTCATAATCTATTTTTTAATTGGCTCTGGTTTCAAGTTCCAAAGTGAATAAACTGTTTCAAACTCAAGGCTTATGCTTTGTCACCGATGTTCAGTGTTCACTTAATTTAGTTTAGTTGCAGTTTCAAAGTATTCAATTACCGTCAGCTTTAAGTTGTCGATTTTTAGTTGATTTTACTCACACAACACTTTGTGCCACTCTTCACAATTGCTTCCTTGGCAGATCCATTTTCTAGAGCATTTGCCACGGTTTTTTAAACTGTACACGTTCCTCGCTTCTCATACTAAAAATGAATTTTAGCCTTTTCCTGTCTCTCTGACATAACCTTATTATTATTCAGTATGCCAAAGTTATTTGGAAGATTTTTGTGATTTCATTCGAATAATACAACAGCGAATGTCGAGTTTTTGTTGAATGTGTACTATGCTGTCAATTTTGGCAAGTGATGTCCTTTGTAAGAGTAAGAGTATAATTGACATAGCTAAATGTTGGCGATTTTGTAAAAAAATTCGTATTTCTAATGATGCAACCTCAAACGGTAGTCATCTTCCACTCCCAGCTGGCCCCAAAAAATTAAAAACATAAACGAAGTTGACACCAAACAAAACTAAGAAACTCCAAAATTTTTCTTTCTTTTTGTGTAAATTATTATTTTTACAATACTACAGACATTATCGTCGTTTGCTTTCATAAAGTTAGCCAATGCAGTATTTTGCTGGCATCTATGTCTCTCATTGACTGGTTAGATGTATGAATACTGGAGCTATCGTTGTGAATTTTGAGTGAAATCAACCTGCCATTTAATTGCAGCTCACTGAAGAATTGTCGAAGGTGGAGGAGAAGCTCAAGTTAACTGAATCTCTTTTAGAAAGCAAGGTACCAATAGATCTTTCGCCTTTTCAATTATTATTCAAGAAACTCGGCCCGCCATTCCTAAGGAATGGAGTAAGGGTCGTACCTTTGAATGACGAGCATCCTCCCCCCGAGGGGGCTTTGGGGGAATGTGATTATGACCATTTTCTCGATGCAGAATCTTGAAATCAAGCGAATCAACGATGAGAAGAAGGCCTCCATGGCAGCTCAGTTTGCAGCAGAAGCCACTCTTCGAAGAGTTCATGCTGCTCAAAAGGATGATGACATGCCTCCAATTGAAGCCATACTGGCTCCCTTGGAGGCTGAGCTCAAGCTTGCTCGACAGGAGGTTTCTGCTCTTGCTTGTTTTATCGTTGGCCTTCTACTTATTTTGTCAGTACGAGGATTTTCCTTAATACTTGTTCCTTCTTTTCAGATTGCTAAGCTTCAGGATGATAACAAGGCATTAGACCGGCTCACTAAATCAAAAGAGGCTGCTTTACTCGAAGCAGAGAGAACTGTGGAGGTGTCATTGGCAAAGGCTTCTATGGTGGATGATCTCCAAAACAAGAACCAAGAGTTGATGAAACAGATAGAAATTTGCCAGGTACTGCGATATTGGAAATAGATTTTGTTTCATTTTGAAGGACGTTCAAATTTTGTAATAGTATGTTCTTCTAGTTTTGACGTTTTTCCTAACATGATATTTTGCTGCAATACGTGCCTATATCAGGAAGAGAATAAGATTTTGGATAAAATGCATCGACACAAGGTTGCTGAGGTTGAAAAGCTAACCCAAACTGTACGAGAGCTTGAAGAGGCCGTGCTTGCTGGTGGTGCAGCAGCTAATGCTGTACGGGACTACCAGCGGAAAGTTCAGGAGATGAATGTAATGTGCTACACCCGTCCACAAGTTGAAATTTCGTTTAAAATTGGGTGTATTAAATAGTCCGATGCAACTCTAATAGGTGGAATGTTTCTTTTTCTGCTTCTCCAGGAGGAGAGAAAAACTCTTGATAGGGAGTTGGCTCGTGCAAAAGTAACAGCAAATAGGGTGGCAACTGTGGTAGCTAATGAATGGAAAGATGCTAATGACAAAGTGATGCCTGTGAAACAGTGGCTTGAAGAAAGAAGGTTTTTGCAGGTACACTTGTTTACTTACTTGTCCTTATCTGTTTTCCTTATTTTTTTGAAATGGGTTTATTTTACTTCTCAAGTTTTACTAGTGTGCTGTCAATAATCACAAGCTATTCTCACAGGGAGAGATGCAGCAACTACGGGACAAGCTTGCTATAGCTGAGCGAGCTGCAAAATCTGAAGCGCAGTTGAAAGTAAGTGATATATTTGGTGCATCTGATAGAGATTATTATGTAGTTACATGATTTATTTTGAGTTAATTTATTGTTTTGCCATCTAGGACAAATATCAATTGCGGATGAAAGTTCTTGAAGAAACTTTAAGATCACCGAACACTGCCATTCGCAACACGCCGGATGGAAGAAATTCAAGCAATGGTTCTTCACGTCGCCAATCATTGGGTGGAGCTGAACACATATCTAAATTGACTTCCAATGGCTTTTTACCCAAGAGATCTCCATCCTTTCAGCTGAGATCTTCTGGGAGCAATACAGTGTTGAAGCATGCAAAAAGTACATCAAAGTCTTTTGATGGTGGCTCACGATCTTTGGACAGGGGTAAAGTTCTCTTAAATGCAATAGGACCTAATTTCAAGCAAAGTCAATCATGTGATGGAGCTAAGGATACTGAGACCCACACCAACACTTGGAAAGGAAATCAAGATGAAAAACCCAATGATCTGCAAGTAACAGATACAGAGGATACTGTGCCAGGGCTATTATATGATCTGTTACAGAAAGAGGTGATTGCCTTGAGGAAAGCTGGTCATGAAAAGGATCAGAGCCTGAAAGACAAGGATGACGCAATTGAGGTTTACTTTGTTCTTACTGACGATATCTTTTTCTTTCTTTTTTCACTTATAAATGCTTGTCTTCTTGTTGATCAGATGCTAGCAAAGAAGGTAGAGACTTTAACTAAGGCTATGGAGATTGAGGCTAAAAAAATGAGAAGGGAGGTAGCTGCTATGGAGAAGGAGGTGGCTGCCATGCGTGTGGAGAAAGAACACGAAAGTAAGGCCAAACGTCTTGGCAATTCTAAAAGTTCAGTAAACAGTTCTCAGGGGCTCCCTGCAAGGTATGCCCATTCTTTGCAATGTTACTGCCACTCATAATACCAAGTGTTCAAGATGGCCTCAAATTAGTACTTATCTTTAGCCCGTATTTAACAACCATTATTTGAAAAATCTTTTTTCTATATATTTATTTTTAACCACACATTCACACAATAAAATATTCTGCACATAAATCCAAAATTTTTTCCTTATTTTTTAATTGCATATTTTCCTAAAAATCACTATTCAAAACATTTTTTTTTTCCAAATAATGGTTGTCATAAATAAACAGAAATGAGCAGTGAATAAGTAGATAGTACTTATGGGTCCATTGGAATGTGTGATTAACAATGAATTAACCATTTATAAATTTTGCCAAATGGAGGCTTTATCTTTTGAAAATATCTGCCATTATCCTTATAATGTCTTTCATAGATGGTTACAACTAGGCTTACAGAATAGCAAAATTTAGTGCACCCATAATTCCAAGGAGTAGCTATAGACAACCATTTTGCACCCTATCTTTGAAGCATGCCCAGGTTATTTATTTAATACGAATAAGTATAAATTTGATAGTTGCCAAAACAGAGAAGGTGGAACTTATTTGGAGCATTGCATTCTTGGATGAATTAGTTGTTCGAGTACTATTAATAGAGTTAAACCCTTGGTAAATAATGTACTGCTGAGTGGAATTCGGCCAATTACTTGAAGTTCTTCTCCTAACTTCGGCTTTATGACAACGATTGTTTTCAATTTATGATGGTTATCTGCCAGTCATGTTTTGCCTGGGGCAAGGTGGATTGCTCAAGGGACCTGAAACTTGTTTTTGAATGTTGAATCATTTGCAAATGACGTATTAATTGAAAACTTGAAACCCATGAACTTTCAATAGGACCCGGCTATTAATATTTCATGCTGGCTTGAATTTAACTCAGATTCAAAGAAAGAACTACACATATGTTAATCTTCTCTTCCAAATCCAGAATATCTGGTTGCCAACTAATACATTTATTGTGCAGGACTTTATCAAGAAGTGGATCAGCGCGTAATGCGCAATAACAAATAGCCCGACTGCAATAGCCAGGAGCTGTTCTCCATAGACCTTGTATTGGGTTCTTAGTTCATCTGGTTCTCGAAAATTTATCTTTTTTATGATTGATGTAAAACTGTAAAAAGCATGCCAATGGGTGTTCATCTGGGAAAAAAGTAAAATGTCGACAAAGCTGAAAGCCATCGGTATAACTTGGTATGCTCCTGACATAGAATGTTTGCCCGCTGATTAGAAATCAAGAAACTGAGGATGTGCAAGTTTAACTAACTGTTTGGCAGATTTATTTCTAGTGGAAGTTGTAATGTTGTATAGGTATGTTGTTGGCATTTCCAGTGCCCGACTTTTTTCTTTCATATTTGCAGTCTATATTTTGTAATCTGCAGCTAGCGTGTGTCATCCTACGGGTTTGTTGATATTTTTATATCAGATAAAACATCAGATATTCTTCTCTCTTTTTCGTCAATAAGTTGCACGTTCCATGTTATTTCAATATTTTCTTGGTAAAATGATATTCACTTCAACATTTCAATGCGGATATCGTGTTTGGTTGAAAGGATTGAGATCCTGGACAGTATTATTGAAGAAGACAGGATGATGTATTGGAAAATACAGGAAAGGAGCTGCTATTATTAATGTTCGTATGTTTTGAATTTAAGGTTGCTGGATCTCACCGAAGACTGCCTCCCGAGATTGACGATCTGCAAATGTTATCCAGTTGTCTGTATTCCTCAGTCTGGTGAAAATATTTTTCCATGTAGTGCTTTAGCTTTGTCAGATTACTGTACTTTCCCCACATGGATGTGTGTGCTCGTGAGAACTTTCTTAAGTAGGACGTTGCCTGGAATGTAACACAAGAAAAAGTTGGAGCTGGAAAAAGGCCGGTTTGTTGGCAATTTAGCATGTCCAAAAACTAAAGGGAAGGAAGAGGAATTGCTAGCTTGGTAAGGGAGTCACTAAAGCACGATCAAGAATAGGATCTTACTAGTTTTGGAGAGTTCAAAGATTCGATCTTTATATGGTTTCTCTATATGAAGAAAAATGATTTCTTTTGGGATTTGTAGCAATGATCCGACACGGATATTGGACACGGATATTGGTTTAGGAGGATAATCATATACTCTTCGGGATATGGAGGTCAAACAAAGGCATGTCCTTGATTTTCCGAAGGTTGTATGAGTATTATGCTTTAGATTCAATCAATTTTGGACATAAATACCTTTTAATATATCGTTGATGCGATTTATGATAGATTTATTATTAAATTAATTAATATTTAATTGAATTAAATAATGGAGTACATAGATTCAAATCTTTGTAATTTGTTAATCACAAGGGGTTGTGATTGTGTGATACAAATTACATATGATTGAATCTTAAATCATTCGTGGTCGTAAGTAATGACAAGATACGGATATCGTTATTACGATTAGACCATTACGTGTGATATTTCTTACTTGTGAAGTAAGTAGCCGATCTCATAAATTAAAGTGTGGTGACACTTGAATTAATATGTTGATGTTTTGTTATAGAACAAAATATTGGAGATCCACTGAGAGATTCCACATGGATAACTATTTGAGTGTTAGTGGTTAATCTCTAACGTTCGGTAGTGGCATTGGTCATTTGACTTGAGGTCATCATAGTGCCTTATAACGAGGGCAGTCATGCTTTGATGGTGTTGGATGTAGCTCTGCCAAGTGTCGCCAATATGACACCGTTTGGGTATATCAAGAATCGTATAAAGGTTGTGAATGACCAATAGATAATTCGTCACTCTTAAATAATAAGAGATTATGATCTACATTTCATTCAATTAAGTCGATAAGGAAATCCTTGGCCAATGTATACTCAGAAGTCGAAAATGAGTTTTCGATTTATATTCACTTAATAGTGGAATGAAAGATATGATCGATAATCGGGATTGACATACTTCCATATCTCGTAATTGATCGGATCATATTGACGAAGGGATTATAGTTTCACGGTAAACGAATAAGTTTGATTTTGTCATATCACATGACATTTTTCATCGCATGTATTGCCCTGACACATTGCTAAATGTTAATTTGGGACGGCGAGTGTGAATTGGTGATAAATTAAAATGATGTTTTAATTTATTAATTTTGATTAGATCAAAATAATATTTCAAGTCGTTAGACATTGTGATAGAGAACCTGATGGGTTGCATACAAAAAGAGAATTAGTAGATTGTAATTTATCAATTAATTAATTTAACAAGCGTTGTATAAATTAATTAATTGAGTTGCTTATTTATAAACCCAAATTAATTAATTGGATTAATTAATTCACGGACCGAATTTAATTAAATGAGTTAATTAAATATTGGACCGGATCAGGCCAAACCCATCGGGGTTTATATAAATATGACTAGTGTTTTCAAAATCTATAGAGAATTCATTATTGCTGAACAAGAAGAAAACCCTAATTCTACAATTTTTTTTTCTGTGTGGATCATCATTGGAGGCTGGACAATTGGATAGTTGTAAGTGACGAATCACGATCGTTGGAACGAAAGAATAGCAAAGAAGTTTGCAGATATCGTAAAAGGTACAATCTCTATCACAATTTCTATTTAAATACAAAGAAGATCATTAGTTGAGAATTGATTTTTGTATTAAATTCCGTTGTGTAGATTTCCAACAGGTTGGGCATAGATCATTGTAGGGTGGAAGGAAAATTCCAACCTCCGAGACACGAGTTCCTCGGATCATTAATCGTGATTAAATAGCTTCTTTTACATTTGCAACATTAGATCCTCCGCCACAATTCCCAGAAACTCCTAAATCAATGCTTCAAATTGATTTCCGTGCCAAGCTTCTACTGTAGCCTCGTGTCGATTTAAAAGTGTGCAAAGTTGTTCCAACCTTCTCCTCACATCTACGAAATATGGCGCCGATCAAGAATATGTATGTTGTTTAGCAGATGGTTTGAAGGATACCCAATAAAATTGTGTTTCCACACAAAATTTTATCTTGTTCAGAAAATTTAATTACCACATAAACTTCAACAGTGCCAGTTCTGTGATTTGGGGGCCCTGAGGCGAAGTTTAGAAAATAGGCCTTCCAAAATTGTAGTGTGCATGAAATGACACAATGTAGCACTTTAAAAAATCCATAATCACAACTCACAATTATGAAATCAAAATTTAACAGCAATCACAACCAATTAATTGTTGAAGATAAATTTATATTAAAGGCATGCCACCAAGAACAGATAATTGAAACCGGATGTCGCATGAATACTACAAGTGCAATTAGACAATAGACAACTTAATATCAACGTTGTAATTTTTTTTTTTTTTTGAAGAATAGACAAAGAATTAACATATAACCACGAACTTTATTATTATTATTAATTTGAAGTAGGAAGTTCGTCTTTTTATGTTTCAATTTACTCAAGAAGTGTAACTCCATTAGTTATTTTGACGAACATGGATTAAACATTGCATCAATATCTAACATTCCTCTAGAAACTGGAACAAGAAGTGAACTCCAAATTATAACAACATAAAGTTCGTTGAATAACACAAAATGCTACTATAAGTTGAGAAATCAACTGTGTTTATTTACCCCTTAACTATATTACTAACATAATACTGAAGGTTAGACAGCAGCCTCAGTAGTATATGACAACCTTTGCAATTAGTTATTTATAAAACGAGAAAGGATGGACAACTGAAAACAATGATTGGTCAGAGAATTGAAACATCTTTTGCAAGTAGTAAAATAAATTACCTCCAAGAAACGAGCTCGGTTATCACAACTGAAGTAGTCAACATAACATTGTTTCCAGCAACTTTTACAGTTCTACAGCATCACAGACCTTGTCTACTGGGACAAATCAGATATACAAATGAGTAAGTGCACAAAGGTAAAACCGTAAAAGAGTGATAATAATTTGAATTTCTGCAACAATGGAAAAAGTAGACAATAGAAAAAAAAAATATATGAAACTCCATCTTATTCCCATTAAAATAAACGACAAATTTCAATAAAATAGCCCTACTCGGCCCACTTGACTACCACTACCAGCTGCTACTTCTGCTTCAAGTGGAAATATGGAAATTGAATTGAAGGGTAAGGGACCAAGGGTTTTCTGTTCGCACACTGCTGCTGCCCTTTTAAAGAGTTTGGGACTGATTTGGGTTTGGGGGAACATCAGATTAACACCAATAGACTGGACCATTTGAATGGATTCAATTTCCTCATTTGGGCCAATTTTTTTTATTTTTTATTTTTTAAATAGGCCCAATCTCGGTCAAGAGAGCCCAAAGAAAAAAAAACTGGCAACAGTATTTTTCTTCGCTTCTCCTGGCTGTTCGACTGTTTTGGTCTGCAATTGTGAACTGCCTGCAACATCTCTGTAACATCTCGACGGTTCCGACGGGAAGATTGGAGGCGGAGGTTGAGGGATTGGATCCTATGTTTTTACCCAAAAAAAAAATAAAAAATCTTTGGACCAAAAATAGGCCCCCTTAGATTTTTGGCCTGAGGCCTCAGCCTCATTTGCCTCGTAGCAGGATCGGCCCTGAACTTCAACCAACTTTGCTTCAAAACCGAGACCGACAAAGGTGTGACAACCAGTTTGTCACCTGACTTCATTGTATATACACCTTTACATGCAAAGCGCTAAATGGGGACATCATCAGATGCAGAGCTAGGATTATGGAGTTGTGGGGACAAATTTTATAACTATAATCGTGCGGGCAAAATCTTGAAGTACAAAATTTAGTTTGTGAGAGCAAAATCGACAACTTTAAGAAATTTGAAACAAGATTTAAAGTTGGGTGTGAGGGAAGTTGACCCCATTACCCCATGCTAACTCTGCATGTGAACATCATCAACTCATTGAATTGAGGGTTATTCAATTCGAACTTTTGAAAACTCTGATGGATTTCGTAGATTTTTATGAAGTTGGTGGAAATTTTTCATAGAATTCTACAGACTTTCATTTTAAAATTTTTATACACTTTTGTAGAATTCAAAAAACTTTTGAAAACTTTTATTTAAAATAAAATTTACGTGAATCTAGTACAATAGTGCGAAATTCTCATTTACGAGGTGTTGATTCCCACAATTTCCTTTCTCCTTTCCCTTCCTCTTCCCATATAATAAAAAAAAAATAATAAAAAAATTATGACCTTAATTAAATAAATAATAATCAATAAATTTTTTTAATAATCAGTATTATTAATATAATATACATTTAAAGAATAATTAGAAAATAATATATGTAAATTTAATTATAAATTTGTTTATATAAAATTTTATAATTTAGCCCTTGTTTGAGTCTCATTTTGGGGTGGGGGAATACATTTTTAAATAGTGTGTTGATGAAAAATGTGTGGTTAAAAAATAAAGAAAAATTTTAAATTTGCGTGTAATATTATTTTATTAAAAAATATGTGATTGAAATGATATCATAACACTG